CATCAATTCTTCGGCGCTCAGCCTTCTTTATGGTCCAGCTCTCACAGCCATACATTACTACTGGATATTATCTTTACCATATGCTATTGATAACATTTAATATTATATTACAGCTAACTTCTTCTTTTCTGAAAAGGTAAACTGAGTCATTAGTCCATACATGTTTAGTGCCAACCTTTTTCATCAAAATGCAGTAGAATAAAAGGAAGTAAAAAAAATATTAAATAATATTGAATACATTGAATATAAAACAATTCACATCTCAGTATTCAGCAAGGGATGATGAACTAAGTAAGAGGCATAACTTTTTCCAGGCTGAGCGGCAAACTTGTCCTTTAACAGATGAGAAACTGAATGGGGACAGAACTAAATTCAATTTAATTGACATTTGAAGTTCATTGAAATTACATTACTTAAATACATTTAAGTAAAGTTGTTATAGTCACTCTACTGTTGGAGAAGTAACTCAAGAGTTGAAACATTAACTAATATGGTTTGGTCTTATCCTTTTATTACTGGGTTGACTGACATCAACAGCATTATTAATAAGATTCTGGATCATTGTTAAAGACATGTATATTACATTCTTGGCTATTTCTCCAGTATATGGAATCTTTCAACATTTCAAGAATTGTGGATTTTTCAACCATTATTGCTATGCTTATCAGTTCTGAAGTTTGTGGATTCTTTATTTCTCTTGCATGTATTTGAACTTTTCTTTTGTTGTTTAGTATAGCATAATAAAATAAAAATAAATAGATTCAGTTAATGCGATAATTCCACATGTATTCAGTAGCTTCCCCTTTTAGTTAAGTTAAAAATTACAATTTGTTGTCACTCAGAGATGAATGATTGCTTTTGGAGATAGCGTGTAACCCTGAGACTTTGGATTGAGCATCCCTGAACCAGGGATGTTATGCTAATATGAGAATCCAGTCATGGTGGTCAAAGTCTCCTAAAACTAGATTGACTCAAAGTGACTCACCCTGCATTCTTCTGCTGCTGCTGAGTATAGAGCAAAGGGGGATCTTCCTCCAAACATAACAGAAAAGACACGCTGGGCTGACCTTTTATGCTGCACTGAAAAGCAGAGGCCTGCTCAGTTTATGCTAGTCAAAGAGCGGTGGGCTGGTGTAGCAACCGAGCTGGTTGGCTGAAAGGAGCTGGAGTATTCCAGCTTTTCAGGCCAATATTGTCTCTTTCTGTACTTGCTGCCAAGAGGGGAAAAATGTGGTCAGTGCAGCAATAGGAAATGGGGGAAAGGAATGCCGCATCTGTCTTTAGCCCTTGCTCCCCTTTGTTCTGCACTGTTGGCTCTGTTGATGCTGGCTGTCCTGGAGGAGAAAGCCTTTCTTGGCTCGCCAGCATCATCAGACTCTAGACTCTTTGGAGGAACTCATCTAACACTGAAATCCTCTTGGGTAGAGTTAGAATTCAAGGGGCCTAATTTTCTTTTGGTTTCAAGCAGCCACAGGCTCATACCTTGCTAGCTGGGATCTGCGTGCTACTCTCTGCTAGTCAGTGAGCAATGCAAATTGTGCAGTCATTTCTAAAAAGATGTGAGAGGCCAGCCTTCTGTCCCAGTAAAGTCAGACGGCTTGGGGGTTGAGCCTGTGTGCGTATTATTTCACAAGCTAGTCTTCTCTGCTGAACCCAATTGTTTTTAACAGGAAATCTGCCCAAAAGTCCATCTCCAAGCGTGAAGTCTAAACAGACAGAAGCCTCTTCACCCTTGAGCTGGACAATGAAGCGTTTCTTGGAGCCAGCAAGTCGGGTAAAACTATTGAAATGTCACCACAAGATTTTAAAGGAGGGGGTTCTGCTGCTTAGAAAAAGTTGGGGCTTTCTTACAGACACGTATCTACTGGTCTCCTCCAAGCCAAAGAAGGTGCTGGTGCTTCTTCTGTTTCTTACCTTGTAGATAGAGTCAGGAGGGGAGAAGCAGTGGGACACATGGGGAGGAGGCTGGATTTTCTCATTTTGTTGTATTGTTCCACCAGGGATCCCTTTGGTCAAAAAACTGTTCCAGAGATTGCACTCTCACAAGAGGAAAGTGCACACACAAGACCTGCCACAAAGTTCCCGTGCATGATAGAGCTGAGTCCCCTTTCCCATTCCTAGCTTCACTACTTCAAATAGTAAAGCCCATGGTTATCCTAGCCTGCCCAAAGGTTTCTGTGCACATTCAAGCAAATGCAAAAGGTCCTTTTCTGCAAAACATGTCAGGGTCAGAAACAGAGATTGTAGAGCCTGCATTCCCATCCTTGCTCCCCACCCTCATTTTTTTTTTTTTTTAAGCTTTCATGTGTTCAGGGAGAAGGCTGACAAAGAGTTACATTCAGTTTAAAAGCCAGACTTTTCCACATTAAGGAGCAATCGCTAATTTGTTTTCCACTTTGGTTTCCAGTCTTTTCTTTGTTTCATGCTGCTAATTAGAATGAGTCTCCTATTTTGGTTTGCTCTAAGCAGCATTCATTTGTATGTTAAAGGCAACTGAATAATTTGGGAAATGAATCAAAAGGTGATAAAAAGAGTGGTGGAATCTAGATCAGTGTTTCCTAGCCATGGTAACTTGAAGATGTGTGGACTTCCACTCCCAGAATTCCCCAGCCAGCCATGGAATCTAGATCAGTGTTTCTCAACCTTTGCAACTTGAAGATGTGTGGACTTCCACTCCCAGAATTCCCCAGCCAGCCATGGAATCTAGATCAGTGTTTCTCAACCT